TGCGTTACACCTATAGCTAAGCTAACGCTCGCGTTAAAAGTCACCTGGTCGCGTTTAGGGTCGCGTAAAACTCGCGATATCATTCGCCACATTCGCATATGCATACGCATTCGCACCAGTCGCATGCGTATGCGTTACACCTATAGCTAAGATAACGCTCGCGTTAAAAGTCACCTGGTCGCGTTTAGGGTCGCGTAAAACTCGCGATATCATTCGCCACATTCGCATATGCATACGCATTCGCACCAGTCGCAGCCGCGTATGCCATTCGCTTGCGTATGCGTTACACCTATAGGTAAGGTAACGCTCGCGTTAAAAGTCACCTGGTCGCGTTTACGATCGCGTAAAGTTTGCGTTAGTTTGCGTTAGTTGCTTAAGCTAACGCACTGCCAGCCAAAATTACTCAGCTCGTTCGCATGCGAATAAAGATGATGTGCGTTAGGCCATACGCACAAGCGAACCGGTGCGTTATCAGTGCTTAAGATCGCGTTACATCGCGTTAGCGTCGCGTTAAACTCGCGTTAAAGCCTCGTAACGCGAATTTAACGCGACTTAACGCGATCACCCGTCGTCATAGTGATATGTGTGGGCGGTAGGTCTGAGCCAAACGTAAGACAGACCATACGCATGTTCATAAAAAACCCACCCACGCACCCATATCGCCGCGATTTAGAGCGTGCATACACAGTTACGCCTCTCACTCGAGGTTCAGAACGTAACCCATGCACCATCCAGAGCTTCATCACATGCAGCACTATTGCCATGCGCGGCCTCAAATAGATGTCCCAGCAAGCTAGCAAATATCTTGAGAGCATGTTCCGCTATGTACCATGCATACCCAATTAATGGTGGTGTATCCTGAAATCTGTTCTCTGTAGCTGTTCGTATTTCCTTTCGGTAGAAGGTTTGAACTGTTCGATCCTCTTTACCATTACCGCTGTAACTAACTGAAACCTGTTTACATATTTCTGTTTATGTTTACAAGACTGTCTAATCTTACTGTTACTAACCTGGCGGCTTGCGACTGCTGTACGTCGGAAATGCTATTCAAATGCCGCACCTGAAGTCCATACCTGAGTATGGGCGGGGGCTTAACCTGAGTAAAGCTGGGATCTGCGTCCCTGGTACTATCTGATTATCGGTTGGGTGAATATCTGTCTGCGGATTTCGGTTCTATCTACGCCGCCCAGTCAGACTGGGAACATTCGCGAACATGCCGGCATTGGGCCCAGGTGGACTCTGCCTCAATCGGTATCTTTCGATACCACCATTCAGTGGTACTGCATAGGGGCGGAAAGTAGGGGTGTTCCCAGCCGCCTAGATTCCCATCCCAATAATAATTCATCTGTATTTTGT